ACTACATAGATGGACTTTGAGGGCATTACGCTAAGTGAAATAAGTCAGACAGAGAAAGACAAACACCATGAGATCTCATTTACATGTGCAATCTTAAAAAAAAGCACAAACCCAAACTCGTAGATACAGACAACAGATTGGTGGTTGCCAGACGTGGGGTGGGGGGAGGTTTGAAGGGGTGATGAAATGGATGAATGGATGAAGGGGGTAAAAAGGTACAAATTTTCAGTTATAAAATAAGTCTTGGATATATAATGTACAACATAGCAACTACAGTTAATGATACTGTATTATATATTTGAAAGAGTAGATTTTGAAAGTTCTCATCACAAGTAGAAAAAATTATAACTACGTGTGTACGGTAATGGACGTTAACTAGACTCACTGTGGTGATCACTTCGCAATATATACATGTAACGAGTCATTACATTGTATATCTGAAATTAATATAATGTTATCTGTCAAATACCTCAATTAAAAAAACTATTTCTGGACCCCACACTTTGTGTGTGTGTGTGTGTGTGTGTGTGTGTGTGTGTGTGTGTGTGTGTGTGTGTGTGTGTGNCAAATACAGGCCTGTAACTCTGCTGGAGTTTGAACAAAACTCCCCCAACATGATCTATTATTTGTTGCTTCTCTTTCCATGTTTTGCTAACTTTTCTCAGTTCATTCCCTTTGATTGTTGGTCCTCTCCAGGTTCCCCAAACCCTTCTGGTTAAACATGCACAGTTGCTAAACGCAGAGGTTTTCTCCTCACCTCATCTGACTGGACTCTCAGCAGGAGTGGACAGAGTCGGCATCACCGTCCTTCCTGAAACAGTCTCTTGTTCACCTCACACACTCGGCCTGGTTTCTCTCCCACCCCAGGGGTTCTCCCTTTTTACACCCCTTCACTGGCATCGCCTCCTTTTGGAACTTCTACAGGCGGGGGGAGGGGGGGGGATAGTCAAGCCAGGACTCCATCCCCTTCCCCTTCCCCATCTCCCCTTTCTCCCTGAGGTCTCCTCAGGAACATGTCCAGTCCCGTAGCTTTACTTACCATCTGCATCCTGATGCTCCCAAATGTTTCCTCACCCTGTGTGCTAGACTATACTCAAGTCCAAAAGCTATCTTGACATGCCCACTTGTCTATCTAAATAGGAATTCTAAGCTTAGAGGACTCAAAACAGAACACTCACGTCCCTCTGCCTCCTAATTCTGTGCCTTCCCAACTTCCCCATTTCAAAGATTGGCAGCATCGTCCACACATGATAGAGCTGAAATCCATGGAGAGCGTCTGATTCCTTTCCTCCCCTCATCCCCTCATGTAAGCCACCCCATGACTTCTGGAGTCTACCTCTGAACCCTCAACTCAAATCTGACTCCGCTAACACCCTTCCACTTCCACCCTCCCCTCTTGAGGTACCCTCATTTCCCCTCTGTACCTCTGCAACAGGCTTCTAACTGATCTCCCGTTACAAGCCAAAGCAACAGTTTAAATATACAAATCAGATAATGTGGCTTTTCAGTTTAAACCCTCCGTGCTTTGTGATGTTATTTGGAATCAAGGCCAGGCTGCTAACAGAGACCACAAGGCCCCATGGCCACATGAGCTGGCCACCGCCCGACGCTCCGGGCTGCCTCTTCTCTGCTATGCTCCAGCTACCCTGGCCTGCCTTCCGCTCCTTGAACACATCTCGTCTTCCCCACCCAGGGACTGCCTGCATGCCCTCTGCCTGAAGCACTCGTTTCCCAGTCTTCCTATTGGCTTCTTCTCGGGGTTCTGGTCATAGGTCAACTGTCATCTCTTCAGGGAGGCCTTCCTGATCACCCTATCCCATCAGCCACCTTTATTTTCTTCCCAGCACTTGCTGGCGTTGGAATTATTTATGAGTTTACTGGTTTTCTCCCTCCTCTGCTGGAGTGTTACTGCAGTGAGCACTCACAGGCCTATCCTGTTCACCAGTGTGTCCCCAGCACGTAGACCACCTCAGTGAATACTTCATGAATGACTAAAGAGTGCTCGGGTATGTGCCTTGAAAAATGCTGCACGCAGATCCTAAATCTTGTTACTACATTGAGGTGAGGATTACAGCTACCCCAATAATGAGTTCATCTGCATTTTATTCTTAGTAGTTAAGAGGGCAGATTCAGGAGTCAAACCCTCCGGTTTTGAATTCTTGAATCCCGTGTGTGTGTGTGTGTGTGTGTGTGTGTGTGTGTGTGTGTGTGTGTGTGTGTGTGTGGTGATATTGGGCACTACTTAGCCTCTATAAGCTTCAGTTTCCTCAGCCATAAAATGGAGATGATTTTTGTAAGGATTAAATGGGATAATCCACGTAAAAATGAAGTGCTTGGTTGATCGATAACACTAAACACTAGCTACTGTTCTTAAACGAATTTTTTTTGTATCATTCTAAAACTTGATGGATAAAACAGTGAAATTTAGATAGTTTCCAACTAGAAGGCTGTTAAACTTAAATTTCCTACACTCTAATAGACCCCCAGTGACTGAATATAATAACAACATGTTTTAGGAAACAATAGTTATATGACTAAGTCTAATTTAGTGTTAGATAAGTAAAATATAAAAATTTCTTACTTTTAGTTATAATAGCCTAAAATTTTATCTGAAGTTCTTGTTTGCAGCGATAAAAATACACTAAAATCCAAGGCTTTTTTTAAAAAAAGTATTATCCCTATTTCACGAAGCCAATGGGCCAGTTTTCTAAAGCATTTTGTATTAGGCCAGGAGACTGAACCTTAGTGGCTCTTTATTCTTGCTCTCTCTGGCTTCCTTATCCTCCCCTTCACACACATCTGTCTGAAGTCACAGATACCCAATGGCTGCTTGGCTATCTAAGTAAATTCAGTATTGTCAGGTGGAAAACTGCAGTGGAACAAACCTGCTATCTTTGTTAAAGTCCAGGGCATAAAACATATGTGGCATGTAGAACTAGAGGTATACTTTTCCCACATTGAGCAGCTCACCCAGATGATTTCTAAGGCAGAAGAGGACTGGTGAGTCAGAAGCGTGTACACAGAAGAACCAAATTTAATCCAATAAAACTAAAGACCACATTGTGAATGTTTTGGGTCTACCAAGGTTAGATACTAAAACTGGTTTCAGAGAGAAATTTTTCCTTTTTTTCTATGAAAAGTGAATATATCTTATATATCTTGCAGTTAACCTTTTAAGTTCATCTGTATTCTTATAACACTGTATTTCTATATTATACTATCACTTATCATTTTATATGTATATATATTTATATCAAATATCATATATATATATATATATATCACATATATTATTTTTAATGTGCTCACCTCTGCTTTTAGATTGGAACTCCTTGATATCAGGTACTGTGTCTTAGTCATATTTGTACATGCACTATCTGGCACATAGTAGGGCCTTAAAGTGCTGATTGATTTGAGTTGATAGGCTATTACTTAAACTGACGTGGTTTCATTCAACATCTCTAGTATATAAGCAATATACACTAAAATTCACATTTCTAGCAATGCTGACAGCAAACAAATCATTTAATTTTAAGATGCTCTATCTGAACTTGGATTTGGGAGACAAATCTGATCATTAACAAACAGGGTTTTAATGGAAGTTCCCTTCTTGTATTCTAAAATACTTCAAGAAGTTTGCTGCACAGCCCATGACTAATACTTACTGCTAACTTATTAAATATTAAAAATCTTTGTCATTCTTTTTCTATTCATTTAACACGCTGACATACGTGTGACACTGTAAAGAATATGGGCCCTGGAGAGAGACTGCCTGGGTTTAAATCCTTGTGTAACTTTGAACAAGTCCCTTTAACTTCTCTGGGTCTCAGTTTACTCATTTGTAAAAAGGGAATACTAATAATACCTGATAGGCTTACGGTGATGTTTAAATGGTTATGTATGTATATGTGTGCATTTATAAATCCCATGTAGGTATTAAGTTATTGCTATCCACAGAATGTTTCCTTTTATTAACAGGACAAGGTCCTTCAAACAGCTTACAGATGTTTGCCTTCAAAGACAATGCAGAGGAAACTTTTATTAGAAGTAAAGGTATATACACTTAGTGGTCACAGTTACTTCTAAAACTCAGTTTTTTTGTGTGTGTTCTTAAAGGAGCTATAAGTGACCGTTCATATCCTGCTTTCTTCTACTTTAAATAATGAAGTAATTTGGCAGTATGAAACAGTAGAAAACATAGTAAAAAGATAAAGATTAAGGCTGTGGAAACCTCAGGGATTTTAATTTTCTTTGTATGTTTTAACTACTATTTTGAAAAACAACCAATAGAATACTCACCAATTTATGGATTTACAAACAATATGAACACTGCGGTGCTTAAAACATGTCCAGCTTAAACTACTGGTATTGATCAAAATGCAATAACAATGTAAAACTGTACATTTTCATATCAAGTTTTCTAATTCCTTATAGGTTGAGTCTTATCAAAAATGAATTGATAGAATAATCTATTCTCTGCCTACCCCTCTTTAAGACAACATTAACTCTTGATAATTTTTTACCTAGTGATTTTAAGTTCACAGGACATTTAGCAGGAATAAGAGTCTTAACAAACGTGGAAAAATTCTAGAATTTAATAAAAATGAGAACACAAAATATTCAATCCCTTAACATCCTCATGAATGACTTCCTAAATCATTTAGAGTTGAACTCTGGTTGATAGATAAGGTATTTCAATATGTTCCCTTTCTTTACTCACTAGAGAAACCAAAAATAAGTTGGGCACTTTATATTTTAAGTAAATTCAAGTTAACGTAGCTGAAATGTTTTGCATTAAAAGGAACAAATGTTGACATTAGACATGGTTGATGCACGCCAAAGTGTCCGAACGGTTCTATTTATTCATGAAGTTTTCAGGAGACATGAGGTTTGAATCACAACACCATTATGCTGTTTGCAGTGGGAAAGTATAATGATGCCTTACTGATAACTCAAGCTGTTAGACCATTCACACTCCTTTAGTGCACCTCTCTCCTTACCTTCAATGAACACCTCGGCGGATGTTGTGTCTGAGCCGCTGGGGTTCGTAGCCAGACAGGTATAGCGACCTGTGTCGTCTTCAAAGGCTTCTGCTATGATCAACGTATGGAGGTCCTCCCCCTCACAGTGGATCTGAATATCAGGTGTGTTGTGCAGTTCCTTTCCCTCACAGAACCATCTGCAGGCCAAACGGAGGTCAAAGGACAGGAGAGAAAGAAAGGAAATGATGATGATTAAACTAATAAAGCAGAAGTGCAAGGCTAGATGCTATGCAGTAAGATGCCTGTTTGATCAGAAAAGATCTGTGTACATGTTCCTGAGGGAAACTCTACATTGTAGACTACGAAATTAATGACTAGACAATTCCCATAGGTTTTCTTTGTAAAGCATCTTACATATTTTATTGACCTTGAAATAAGCGACACTGTCAAACTTGGAAAGACCATTTCAATTATGAAAGAAAGGGAACAGAGATTCAAAGTGTCTTATAAAACGTTTTATAGTAAATGACTCACATGTATTACAATTTTATCTGTTATTCTTATCTTCAAAAAGATGAAAGTAATACAAACGTTATGCTCAAAATATCTAACCTAGCAAGGGAAACTAATCATCATGTTAAAAAAAAAAATCATAGGCAGCAATATTTTTGTTGACCCGAAGACTTCTGATCAGCTGAGCAGTAACAGATTTAATGCCTTCCACATTTCTGATATTTACAAAACTTTCTAGCAGACCCCTTGGCCTCCACAACTAGAAAGATGGAGCAGTTGTGCTGTAATTCATTCTTGCTGGTCAGCACTTTTCCTTTCCCAAACAACCAGGACCTTGGTGTGGGAGGCTGCAAGCTTCCAGACGGTTTTAACACAGGTTCTCTCTCACACACTCTTTCCTTTATTTCCCTAGTACCTCAGACTCTAAACAGGAGTTTCACAAAAAATATGAAGCTGCCTTAGGCCCCTCTCATAATGTGATTTATTTTTAAAGAAATATGTAGGAATGTACCACTTACAACTAAAAGGATTGAAGTCTCTGGGACTGTATTGTCCATTTAGCTCTTAATTAGCACTTGGAGATTTTCTCTGAGTCTAATCTTCTAGAAAATTCTTTGGACTTGGCACCCTTTGGTGAAACTCAGGCAGTGAAAACTAACTTTTTCTGTTTTTAGATAGCATAATATCAGTATTTGTCAATATTTAATTTGAAAATGTTACATAAACAAACCTGTTTGCTAATACACTATTAATTCCAGAAACTATATTAACACATAAATATGGGATATTCAAAAACAAATATGGGGCACTGACAAAAGAACAGATATGACTTTGGGAATTAAAGACACATTTAAAGAACAGCCAACTGAGCATCTTACACAATGCGATATGCGTTACTTTTGAGGCAATTCAGGAGGGCTGTATTTCTTGATTCTGGGGCATTTTGTAGTTTCCTTTGTTTTCATAAAGTCTTGGAAAACATTTCAGCCTACAGCCATCTTCCAGCTCTTTTCTGTTCTTTTTCCACATAGCCCAGACCCTGACAGTGAGAACTGACCGTGGCTTCACTTTTAATTGCTCTTAAGTCTTTTAATTGATATCTTCATCTCCAGTAAGCTATGCAGTCTTCCTATATCCTGTGTCAGATTAAAGCTCCTGAAAGTTCCTTACATACATCATTCCCTTCAACTTCATATCTGTATTGAGGCATTTCACACAACTTGGCCTCGATTTTATTTTCTATTGTTTTCCTATACAAATCCTCTGTTTCTGTCAACTCTTTGCATAGATGTATTGTTCCCAGCACAGTACTACCTGCCTCCTTTCCCCTCCTGGGAATGCTCTCTGTATTCTCTTCCCTAGGTGCTGCTCTTCGTTACAGTCAAGAGAGAGGCTCCTTCAACAGATTCAATTCACCCAAACCTGCGCTTGCTGGGCATCTTCTACGTGAAAGGCACTGTATTACGTACCACAGGAAGAAATGCCTGGGAAATTCTGAAACTAGTTGAGGAGTTTGTGTGTCTGTACTGTTCGAGTTTCATCTTCCATTAAAAAAAGTTAAAAGCCTACAATTAGAGGGAAAACGAAGCATGAAAACATGCAATGAAGGTTTTAAAAAAAAAAAAAGAGAGGATCCATTGCTTTGGTTAGACGTGCTTCACAGGGAAGCCTTGCCCGCTCCCCACGGGGGTGTGTAGCATCCTGATCTCTAACTCAGCTCAGCAAACTTACAGCCTGCAGGCCTGCTGCCCGTTTGTATATGGTCCATGCGCTTACAGTTTTAAATGTTTGGAAAAAATTTTTAAAAGCAGTATTTTGTGACATCTGAAAATTATATAAAGTTCAAATGTCATCATCTATAAATAAAGTTTTATTGGAACACAACCATGTTCATTCACTTATGTATTGTCTATGGCTGCTTTTGCATTACAATGATAAAGTTGAGTAGTCACAACAGACTGTAGGGCCCATAAATCCTAAAATATTTACTATCTGGACTTCACAGAAAAAGTTCACCACCTCCTGCTCTAACTTTTCGCTCCTCAAAGTGTGATCCTTGGACCAGGCGCATCGGCATCATTTGGGAGCAGGTTAGAAATGCAGAATCTTGACCCTCATCTCAAATCTACCGGATCAGTGTAGGTCCCCCTGGTGATTCACGTGTACATAAAATTTAAGAAGTTCTGGTCTATTCTGTTTGGATCACACTAACTTGCATCACAGAATCCTGGCTCTCCATCTAGGTTATTTGCTTCTTTAACATAGCAACCACATTTGGTGTGTTTTGTACCTCTGGTCCCTTGCACATAAGTGCACGCAAAATTGTGTTCTCTTTGTTTCTCCCATCTTTCTACTCAAAAAATTCTAGCACTACTGATTCGACAGATGACAATATCCCACTTCATGATATCTTGTGTTGTTTCCTTATACCATGATTTGAGGTCTGATGCATTTATGCCTTATTTCCCCATCTAGAAAATCAACTTCTTGATTGCAAAAAAAGATGTACGTTTAAAACTTTTTAAAATTGATCCATAGTGTATTGCACAGTTGGTGCTTTAAAAATAATTACTATCTGCCACTCATTATTTTAAAATGCCTCCCATGAAAAAACAATTAGTGAAGGCTCCATGGCCTACTAGATTTTAAAGATGCTGCATATTGTATATCACTCCTTGATGTTTGTGATTCACATTTTCTTATCAAAGCCCCTGAGAAGTCCTGCAGAAAATAAATTTTGGACTGTCTAATCTAGAATTTACTGAACTATTGGACCATAGTATTCTTTTTCATTTAGCATCTACTAACATCCTACATGTAGTTGCAGAATGCTCTTCTAGTACATTTATCCCATAGATCCCATAGTTTATCCCATAGTTTTTAAAAAGTGAATTAAGATCAATTATAATCTGAGCAATGAAGCTAAGTGTAAGGCTTAAAGTAATCAGTAAGCACAAAATACTTGAAATAGGTTTTAATACTGGCAGAAAGATTAAGGCAACAAATGTATTTCCTGCAACAACCTAACACATCTGTTTGGTCTCCTGAAATAGTTCAACATGTCTTCAACATGTATGAGGTGAAAAGGTTGGCGCTTTCAAGCCACTAGGCTGACCCCTTTTTTGCTTTTTAATACTCATGCTTTTTTGTTCTCCAGCTCTGTGAGTAAAATTTAAAAAGCTTCTCAGATTGTAACACGTAGAAAAAACAGTGCAGAGAAAAGACTGTGTCCAAGTCAGATGGTAGGTATAATAATTAACATGAGTCATTACATTGGTTTGACACAGTCAGGGAAAGTCAAATTGTTACTGATGTTAAGTACCTGCCAAGTGACCAGCTCTAAACTGTGGTAAGATAGGGTGTGACTCAAGAGGAGGGGAGGAAAAAACACTGCATATATTTAGATGGCAGACTCTCTTTAGCAATAAAAAGGGCAGCATGGTTCCTGGCCAACATTTAGATTAATATGTGTTTAATTTGTGATTGGAACCATTTGCACCATTGCAACTAGTAATGGCTGAGCAAAGCAGCTCAACTGACTTTATCAAAGTCATTTTGTCTTCCTGGTTCAGGTTTCTCATCTGAGGAGATGAGACTTTCTAGCTATCAAGTTTCATGAGTCTAAGCTTTTTGGTGAAATTAAAGGGTTGTGTATTTAGTGATTGGGTTAACAATATTTCAAGATATGATGTAGAGAACTATTTGATGAAAGGTACAATAATTAATGGTTTTTCTTTTTTGGAATATACTAGGATATAACAGTGTTTCTAAGATTATACACCCAGTTGGGTCCTTGAAAGCATCAATGGATTTACCACCTTGTCTTTATCGCTACCCCGGTACTTAACTTTCCACATTCTACTGAAGTTCACTCTTAATGTGCCTTTCTACCCTACTAGAATACACATTTTTCCAGAATAGAGGCCAGATCTTATTAACTAATTCACTAAGTTAAGAAGTATGTATATTCCAGCACAATGTCTGGCATATAAAATGTGTCAACTATGTCTTTTATTTTCTGTATTTCTGATGCTTTGACATCTGGGTCCTTGCTGACTCTGGAGAGAAGGCCCCTCCCAGGAAAGGCCAATTCTTAGCTACAGTAACTGACTCTCCTTCAAGCTCTTCTTTCATATGAAAACTAACCAGTCCAGAGCCACATCACCGCCACTTCCTCTATGGGGATCTCACACACAGGACCACTAGTCCCATGTCCTAATCACCCCAGAGCCAGGTAGTAACAACTAGGGACAGCCTCTTTGGCCCAGAACTCACTGAAATTATTAGACAAGCCAATCCTAAATCTGCTTATCCTGCTTCATCCATTCCTTCCCACGGAAACCACAATAAGGCCCTTGCCCATGTTTCACTTCATGCCCTGTGCCTCCTAACCACCCCCACCACTGTAGCACGTTCCTTACTCTTGGAACCTGTGAGTAATAACCCATCTTTCAATGGCAGTCAGCTCCTGACCTGCTGGCCTCACCATACCTGAATAACACCTATTTTAAAACACTGAACTAAGGACCGGCCGAGTGGC